ACGAGGTGAACTCAGCTGAGTTCAAATCCCACCTCCACCCTGCGTGTTCAAATCCCACCTCCACCCTGCGTGTTCAAATCCCACCTCCACCCTGCGTGTTCAAATCCCACCTCCACCCTGCATTTGGTGTTCTCCCTCTGTTGTGTAGGCTTCCACCCACAGACTAAAGGCTAATTATCCATAAAGTATGATTGTGTGTGTGTCTGTCATGTCCTGCCTGGTACAGCCTCCAGACTGACGACCAGGATAAGCTGCCAGAAGACAAGACTTAGACACACACTAACATACACACACTCACGTGGTTTGACTGTACGGATTCTGTCATGGCTTTGGAAACTACATTAAGCAGCTTAAAAGTTCTGTAAATGACAGTATGGTGTCTCAATCACTCACCAGGACCACTCAGCATCGCTTTGATTGTGCCAGAAGTCAAGGCATGCTCTCTCTTCACAATAAACTCATGACCATCAGAGGAAATCAGCTTCACATACATGGCATCTGGCCCTTCACAGCCACCGTAGGTTTTCTCTTCGCCATCTTATAAATGGAAAACACCTTCACTTATGCACTAGAACTAGACTACCAGTACGACGTTATAACTACATCAGAGCTAAAAAGAGAAATTCACACTACAAAATGTCCAACATTACATTTACAATGGTAATAATTACAGCTTTGTGTTTAAAACATAATCTGAATTAAGATTTTTGAACTGGGGAAGAGATTGTAAATAGACCGAAATTTAACCTGGTCAGAAATACAACTACATATTAAATTAGTGCATTTAAAAATTTTTTTTTAATCTAATTTATTTTACACTTATACTCACCCATTGTGCCTTGTAGTTAAAGTATTTATATCCTGAAAAAATACAGATTTAATTCAATGTCATAGAAAATATAAAAATACAATTAAATAAAAAAGAAAACTAAAATCACATTTGAAGCATGTAACTTATGCTAGTTTTATTTATATGCTGTAGCTAACACTGTGGCATGGTTCTGGTTGACATACCTCGACATAAACATCTGTTTATCAATAGTGCACAAAGAGTGAAGGAAAATAAAGGCACCATATAATTATATATGAATTTGCGCCATATTTTCTACCAGGAACATTCGAGTTCGTGTCCAGCTACTGGGAATACCAGCTGCCTTACAATTAGTATCAGTTCGTAGCACGCTGAATAATAAACCGTTACATATAATGAACGACAAAATTAAATGCAAATAGCAGAAAAAGGAAACGGAAAATGCCATTATTTTATTACACTGATGCAACTTAAGTCCCAAACCTGAAATGCCATTTGCGAACAACATACCAAAGGGAAATACCAGAGCTGGGGCCATTCCGGAATGCACTCATGAATTCCAATCCAAATCAGGAAATGGAACTGGAGTTAGGATCAGGAAAAAAAAACTATGGGGAACAGAATTGGAAATTAATTCGAATTTCATGGAGATTTAAATTCCAACTCCAGTTCCATTTCCTGATTTGCACTGGAATTGATAAATGGATTCCGGAACGGCCCCAATCTTGGGAAATACCACGTAAAATACCCGGCATTTAAGGCTTAAACTACAGGAAGGGACATTAAGAAAGAAGCTTTTACAGCCAAACTGTTACATTTTCCATTCAGTCAGAAAAGCGTCACTTATAGCAAGGCCTAGGCGGTATGTATGTTCATCAGGACAGATGAAGATCTAACTAGCTAACATTTTCATTTAGCATTAACTGACCGGTCTCGAACAAAGAGACACCGCTGAGTTTCGAAATAGACACCATCGCAGTGATTCCCGTTTAAATAAACGATAATAACCTGATAGGAGCCTGCTGGTGATCCACATAGAGCCGCCGCCAGCACCAGGGCCCCCACTTCCTCTCCGCTTAGCCCAGTCACCGGAAGCGCTTTAAGAGTGTGCAGCGCCATTTAGTGCCGACAGGAAACGAGGAGCCCTGCCATTAAGTCCAAGGCGAGCATGGGAAAATAACCCGGCCGTCTAATATCTGCGGTTTTCTAATTTATTACCGCCAAATTTTCCCAGGAAAAATCTATGACAAGGCAAACAAATAATACATACGAATACATCTCAGTGTATTTTATATTATTGCCACACATGTAGCGTCTTCTTATTAGTATTAAGTTAACTATTTCTGTATTTTTATCCGTGTAATTAGGTATCTATATTCGAAAGGTATTTAGCCATGTGACGAAGCTCGCATACAAAATATCATAAAGAGAAAGCCTTTGAAGTTTGTTTCAAGTGTCCAGAACTAATTTTATGTCGGCGGTCGGACTGGCGGAAGATACTGATGGGGTACACAAGCTCGCGTACCCTTCCGGAATCTTCATCTGGGTCACGCCGTCTTGGTGCCCCTAGCAGCTGTTTTGGTGCATCGATCCCTATCTGGGAGTCTAGGTAGTTGCATGCGTTATATCGAAAATGACGGCCCTATATATAATACGCGGCTTGTATCCTCAGACTGGCTGTCCAAGTCTCATTGGAATAGGTCAGCTGTTAGCCAGGCGCTGCTGTGGTACATTGCACGGTCTCAGCTCTCATCTCACACATATCCCTTCGGAAAATAAAAAGCATGTTCTTCAAATCGTCAAATCTCCGTACTTGTGTAAAGTCGTATTGAATAAGGTAACTTACTCTTTTGAAACTACTTTAAATTACATTAAAACACATAGTCTTTAAATAATTCTGTCATTACTATAAAATGTGCCTCTTTTTGAGTTGTTAGCTGGTTAGATTGCTAGTTCTATTTCTAGTTATGCATTTACATTTTGTCTAGATCAAAGTGGCTATAGATGATACACACATTTCTTTATTGTTGGTTCCAGCAACCTGAAACAGATCTTGTGTATTTATAGATCCTACTTTTGCAGTTTCTATGGTTTGTTGTTGTTTGGCACTTTGGGTGTGTAATAATCGGCATGTACTGTAGATGGTTGCTTGACTGGTGGCAGATTCTGAGCTGTTTTGTTACGGACAGCCTCTGCGATGCTCTGTCCCGAGGAGCTTCAGTTCATCAGCTGCTGTGTGCTCTGATCATGGAAAGCTGATCTACACCGGAAACCTAGGAAAGGCTGTGCTTGGTATGTGAGACCCCTGCCTCGTTACCCGCACAGAAGGGCCAGGCTACACCTCATTAGCGAAATGAGTTTGTCAGTACGTCCTGGAAAGACGTAACTTTGCCGATTCTTCTCTCTCTAGGGGTTAAGTTCTTCTCCTACTCCAGCAGCATGTTTAGCATCTGTGTGACACCCTACATCCTGCTCAAAACGGGTCTCGGGGTGCAGAGCCTCGCCCTGCAGGCGGCGTTCTTCAGCATCATCGGCGTCTTCACTTTTCTGACTCCGGTGCTGCTCCACCTGATCACAAAGGGGTATGTGTTACGGCTGTACCACGACCGCGACACGGACACTTACACGGCCGTGACGTACAGCGCTCTTCTGGTGGAGAAGACCACGGTGTTTCACCAGAGGGACGTGAAGGTGCCCGATGTCAGCAAGATGTTCACTACCTTCTATGCCAAGAAGATGTCCATGCTGGTGAACCCCATGATGTTTATGTTGCCCCACGATTACAACCACCTCATGGGCTATGACCAGCCCTTTACTTTTGACGTGGAGGAGCTGAAGAAGCCGGACAGCAGCTGAGACCACGGCAGCAGCCTCCGTATGATTTCCCTTAGGGGCTGACAGAAACTGGGACTTGTGCATGAAGCAGGGTGGTGATGAGGACGGGAAAGAAAAAAACATTATGTGCTAGTGAGTAGTGGTGGCAGTGTGACATGGAGCAGTACAGCCGAGACACACGATGATGTAAGTCACAGTTGGTCCTCTTTCTGATTATCCTGCGATGGACCAAGCTGTAATGCTGTTGCTTTCTGAAGATGCGCAGCTCTGTTTTCTGCCTCAGTGAATGCAGAATAAGTAAAGAAAACGTAAATAATTCAGTTTTACTACATGTCTTTATTATTTCATTCTCCTAGTGTTACTGGAAAGGCAGATTCTTTTACCCAGCATCATTCATCCTTTGGCAATAAAATATATTAACATCCAGCCACCATATTTGTTGTCCTGTCAATGAATGTCAGTGACAGGTGATTGGTGGCACCGTACTGGTGTGAATATGTCTCTGTCTGTCAGTGTTTCTCAGTCTGGTCATCGGGGCCCCCAAATCGGCAGGGACCTGGGAGGAAGCTAAAGCCCAGACCACCTGGGGCTCCCCGAAGACCAGACTGAGAAACTGCTGCAGAGGAAGATATTATGTAAGTGAGGTGACCCTACCAATCAGAGCTGATATAGAACTGAATATTGCAGCTGCATTATACAGTTCAGAAAAAGGTTGTGTTTGTTGCTCTTAGGGCTGATAGGGATGAGGTGGTTTTAAGGGGTTAGGATGCTGTGTCTGTGATAGGAAGGTTGTCGGTTCGAATCCCGTTGTTGGTATGCTGAGTTCACCATTGGGTCCTTAAGCAAGGCCCTTAATACTAATTGCTCAAGGGACTGGTTGCTCAATTGCATATAGCTTTTGATAAAAGTGCTTACTAAAAAGATAATGTATGTAGCTGTATACAAAAAAAAAAAAACGAAGAGTCTCCAAACTGTCCTTGCAGCTCTGCAGTTTCCTAGCAGAAACATTGGATATTGATAAAAATGGAAAAAAGATGGTACAGTATTCATTCGTGCAGGGGAGCTAGAGAGCTGCGGCATGTCGTTTGCTGACCTGCCTCTCTTTACCCTTCTAAGGATAGTGTTTATGTTGTCATCTCTTGGAGAAAAACATGGGCCCCGAAGGTCTGTGGGAGGTGAGCTCCATCTATTGAGGTCAAGGGCAGCTTGATACACGATCGTGCAGATAAGAAGGACATTTGAGAGCGTCTTGCTTCTGATTGCTGCTGAGAGCATGGCAGCCTTGCAGTTTACCTCTGAAAGCACTGCAGCCCTGCAGTTGACCTCTGAAAGCACTGCAGCCCTGCAGATTACCTCTGAAAGCACTGCAGCCCTGCAGATTACCTCTGAAGGACGCTGGTAATGAAGGCTCTACTAAATGAAATAACTCAAATGTAGTTTTCCTGACCTGCATCAGCATGCAATAGATTTAATTGTTTAGAAGATACTTTTATCCAAAGTTATATGTAACTGAGAAAGTAGAGTCAGCCAGTCCCTGGAGCAATTGTTGTAAAGTTCTTTCCTCAAGGGTCCAATGCTGAAATCAGTACGTTGGCCCTAAAATTTGAACCAGCACCCATGCGATTACAGCGTGAAGCCCTGACCCCCAGAGCCACACGTTGCCCCAAAGAATTAATCTGGCCGAGCCAGACCTGTCAGCACGCTGCTAGTGATCTCTAACCAGTTGAGCGATCCAGCTCTTTGGCAGGAGTAACGTGGTCTTCATTCCTTCTGCAAGCTTGGATCTCTGTGAGGAATGAGGCTGAAATCTATATGCAGGCCTTTACAGTATCCTCCCTATACCTACAGCAGACCCATAAGCCCATGCACACATCAATATTTCACTGGCATCTTTTCTCACCTCTGCAAAGCCTTTCCGACACTGGAAAAAAGGGACATAAAATCCATTCTCATACACAACTTGTTTTTGAACTGATCCTTAAAGGAGGTTCTAATTGTTACCCCTCCGTTAGACGCCAAAACACTTGCAGCGGCACTCTCATCAATACCCATGATATTATGTTCTATATATAAACGGCTCAGCGAGGCAGGACTTGGGGCCAGGTGACGATGGTGACTTGGCTTGGGCCCTGCAGTGGCTGACGGGGCAGGGCAGGTGCTGCTGGGATAGCTGAAGCTGGTGTCCTGACCTCCTAAGCCTGTCAATCATCTCTGGGGATAGAGTCATTTATCCAAGGGTCATCTCTACTAGCAGGCAAAATGTCGATTTCATTAAAAGACTGTGCACTGGGGCAGGACACTAACTTTCATTAAATGAATGTGAATGTGAACAGATACATGCATTAAGGAAATACAGACGCTCCTTTACTTACGAACTTTCAACTTACGAACTTTCAGACATACGAACGAAGAGCACTGTAAGTCCAAATTGTGTTCATTGGGCTCCCGTTTCCTGTCCGCAACATCAATGTTTTTTTTCTGCGCACCAGTCCCACCTAATATGACTTCTGGCCGCTACTCCCGCCATGCAGCAGTGTAGCGTGCAAACTCCCGGCATCCTAGTTCTTTGTATTCACGTATACCCTTAACATGATGTTAAATAACGACTTACGAACATTTCAAGTTACGAACGGCCGTTCAGAACGTATCTCGTTCGTAAGTGGAGGAGCGTCTGTAATTAGTTTTCTTAAAGGGCTCTCTGTATTATGGAGAAGATAACGCCTTTTATTAAAGAGCTCTCCGTCTCACGAAAAGCAAACAGCTTTTATTAAGTGTGCTATCTGTATTAAGAAGGTGATGACAGGTGGTTGCATGTTAGATTCTTGGATAATTCAGACCATTGGATGTCACACCCTGAAACCTAGATGGTTTGGTCTATTGGATTATATTATATTTTCATCCAAAGCAACAAGCTTTTTTGAGAAAGCTGGGTCAGACAGTCATCAGAGGTTGGATGTCAGGTCCCCACTAGAGAGGTTTGGATTAATTATCTCAGTCACCTCACCTGTGCCAGAGATGAACATTACCCTATAGAACTGGGTATACTGGGCACAGAGGCTGGCAGGGACGCAGTTAATTATCTCGTTAAAATATGACAGTGCTCTACATTCTTGTAGAGCACTTGGCTGTTCTTTACTCTTCTGCAAACTCAAAATCATCCTAAACATATCAACTTGGTCTCAATCGAGAACTGATCCTCCTCAGCCGGGGGCAAGTTAATGCAGAGGCTGTCCTAAGATGTAGCCTGGGGCCCCACCAGGGGGAAAAAGCGACGGTTGGTTAAATCAGCAAGACCTAAGTGTCCATGCTGATGTCAACCTAGAGTCCCCAGATAAGCTAATCTATCTTTGTCCCCAGCACATTACATCTGTGACCTGGTCAGACGGACTCTTTCCCTGTATCCTCAGAGATATCTGGACACACGTTCTGCCACCGTTCAGCTGAGCTGTTGTTTCGGGTGGCAGCTATCTGGAGATGGAGTTCAGCTGTGCTACATCCCAACTAACAGGGAACGTTCCCAGAACTTCAGCCAATATTATGTGATGGTCTTCTCAAAGTTGGCAGAGAACGTTCCTACTGTAACGTTAAAGGAATGTTATTTCCGCATTTTACATTTTAGGTTCTGTCAATGATGGCATGATTACCTGAGCATCCTTTTAACACAAGTAATATTGAAAAAATTGTTTTACAATAAAATATTTTATACAGGTGTTATATATGTATACTGTGAACACACCATCCAGCCTTGGACCTATGACCTCATAGATGTAAATTAACAATATCACCTGTTCTACCCGCCTCTTTACAGACACTCCTCACTTAAACACCAAGTTCTGTTCCTACAACTAGGTCGTTAAACGACTTGGTCAGTTAGCGAGGAGCTGCCCGTTACCGATATTTCAAGCGTACTGTACTGGTTGTTGGTTTGTGTCGACCATCTCTAGATATTGTTTTAATGTCACCTTTGTACCTTTTATAACATTTTTAATATATTTATAAATGTTTACAGGTAGCAGGTAATCATTTTTATTTATTTTCACCGACATCTTGTACTGTGGGGTGCACGATAAAGTATAAATATTTAGACAAAATATGCAGTCTTGGAGTTTGTGAATATTGACTGACTACAGGAACAAGACTGAGACTGAGAAAGAGTGATGCGAGATAAGATGCTTAACACTGAGGTGACTGGTTAGAGAGCTGGTCATTAAAGGCTGCTCTAGCCGGTCATTAAAGAGGCAGGCCGTTAAGCATCTGTATTTGTTTGCGTATTATTTACCTTACTGTGGAAGTATGTGTAATAGTGGGATAATGTCATGGGAACATCAGGAAAACTGAACACTGAACGTTTCCATACCTTAATTGTAATGTTCAGTAATCGTTCCTAGAACTAAAAAAAAACAGGGATTAGGTCTCTCCGGCTTCTCCAAAACACCTGCTGCGTTTCTCGTTGTGAGCTTCAGAGCATCTATCACGCTGCCGCTGTAGGCTTCCCTGTGGGTTACAGACCTGTTGAGGAAACAGCTCCATCTTACCTTTGTGACCTCATCAGCTTTTACGCTCCATCTGGTTCACCGTGGTTAGGGTTAGGTTTAGGGTTAGGTTGAAACCCTCCCCATTACTGGCAGGAAAGCTAAATCCCACATCTCCAACAAAGATATCAGCTGTGTGAGCTACACCACAGCCTTCCTGCGTCCTCCATGTCTGTCTTACGCAGGCAGTTCTCTTCAATTCTCCATTTTTTTGGGAATGTTTCTGCATCTCCTGCTGTAGTATCTATCAACAGAGGCTCCCTACTTTCTGTCTTCATATTACTTCCTATTTCAAGATGATAATGATTTTTTTAATCCGTTAATTCTAACCAAACTTCAGCTAAGGTTCTCAAAGAGATTATGAATAAACGTTCAGTGTTTCTGTGCCACATCGTATAGCACAGTCTGTAATGATACGGTGGAATGTGTTATTTTACAGCTGTATATATGAAGCAACACGACAGAAAGCATCACTTTCCTGACTTCCCTTTATTTTGTGCTGACTATGCAGGTTGTGAGATGAATGGTACCAAATTCCTGTAATATACAAGCGCAGAATAGTGGCTCTGTAGACAGCTATATAAAGCCAAGGTATATACATACTGTATATTGCTGACGCGTTTTAAGGTCAGTGCTGGTGTCGTGTTGCTGTTGAGTGTGCCCCGTATGGAAGCGGGCGGGCTCACTTCTGCCGGAGCTGTCATGGCGGTCTGCGGCGAGCTGGCCATGCACGACGGGCCCTCGGCGTTCCAGCAGCGGGCTAATTTTAGGGCCGTGGGAGGTCTGGCCAAGGAGCACAAGCCCGTCTGTTCAGGGCCTCAGCAGAAAGATGGCTGGCTGAGGGGATCTTCAGGTTTAAGTGACATCAATCTGAGACACGGGCACCGCTGTGCGCTACTCTTAGTCTGGCATGTGCGTGAGCCGAGCTTTGGGAAAACAAGCCCACTCAGAGTAGGATGATTATGTGCCATCCGACACCACCTGCCTTCGCCCGACGGGAGTCGGTAAACCAGCCAACGGGAAGTGGGCTAAACCGGCCCGGTGACGAATGGAGCGCCATTCTCCCTCCCGCCGCGCGTTTCAGAACCTCGTCTGTCTGAGGCAGGCGCACAGCTTGCGTTTCCTCACGACACGGGACCGCTAGAACGTCAATTAGAATTTCTGGCTGTCGTCCGCACGTGGGACTGGGTGCCATGGCGACGCACATCACAGCCCCACCAGCCAAGCTGCCACCTCGGACTGCCAGCGGGTGGGTCGAGGTTGCCACAGTAACCGCGCCAACGCTGGAGCGGTACTGGCTCGAGGCTCTGCCTGGCAGGGAGGCTGTTCGATGGGGAGCCCATTGACCTCAGGATGTCTCATTCCGGGGGAGGAGGTGAGGCAACGCGGACGTGGGGAGAGAGACTGAACAGCCCTGACGGCGTCCCATGGTCGTGAACAGAGAGCAGAACGGCGAGAAAACACATAATGGCTCATCGAGTCGTTTTAGACAGTGGTGCAGTTTTATTCAAATAGTATGATTTTTAAAGACATTTGGTTGAAGTTCAAAATGTGGTGTGTGTGTGTGTATATATATATATTTATATATATATATATATAAAACCATAGTGTATAATTACAAACAAGGTTGTTATAGTCAAATGAAATGTATAATACATTGTCCAATTATAAACAAATTATTTGAAAAGCTAAAATACAATAATTGATAATTTAGAAAAATACCAACAGATTTGGGATTGTGCTCTGTAAAAATGCTTTACAAATTCTATATATTTTATGTATAAATGACAGCAACATGTGCAATTATTTAAAAAAAAACAAAAAAACAAATAGCCCAAATACTTCTTAACAATTACAGCACTTTTGTGAGAAAACTGGTTCAAATTAATTAAAAAACAAGACAGCCATGTACAGAGCATTGTGAAGAGACTGCTTAAATAGTGAGACGCGCAATGACATCAGAGCTCATCGCAGTTAGAGTAGTGTGCTTTAAATGTGTGAAACATCGCGGTGGCTTCCGTGAGATCGTCCAGACGGTAGCTCTCCCTCTTCAGGTGGCATTGCTCTCTCATTACTGCATGGGCGTTGCCCTTGCGGCTAGTGGCTACACGCTACAGGCGCTACGAAAGTACCTCCTGGCAAAGACTTCCCACAAGACCTTGAAACATTTAACTGAAAAATAAACCATGCAAAAAATATAAATTAAATAGAAGCATAAGAACAGAGAAGCTTTCTTAAGCCCTTGTTTAAATATTTTATATCTATGTATACTACACTTTTTATATGATGTAAAATAATCTTTATTTAAATAAACTCTGTATACAATGTATAAACTATTCTTTTTGTGAGAATAGCTCACAGACAAGCCAAGCTGTACCAACAGCTAGACCAAATGCACTTTGAAATCCTGTCTAAAGATTACGGCAGTCCAACGGCTCACGCGCACACACATACACACACGGCACGATTAAGACAAACTCTTCTTCCCATCTGAGGACTATAGTTTATTTTTTTCTTTCTTTTTTTGCTGAGGTAAACTTTAGTGCAGTGAAACACTGTAAAGGCATGGGATCTGTGGAAGCTTTCACGCACCATGTGGCTCTCCCTGAACGTGTTCACCGCCACGTTCCTGGAATAACTGAAATAGCGAGTCTCCGCCCTCACAACATGCTTATGAGGACCAGTCCTGAGCTATAGGGCTTTCTGAAGTTCACCTACATGCTTACCTGCCTTTCAGATTCCTGATGAAACACTAGAAGCGATATTTAATCATTCTACAAAAATTCCATGCATGACAGTTACTGCCTGTGTTACAACGTACTCTGACAATTTATTTGCAATATTTAAATTCACTCAAATATTTAAGATATCAGATTCCTGCCTGGGTTACAGGCAGGCCAACAATCCGTACAAATGAGCCAACCAATCCTCACTGCAGAAGCTCAAAACTACTTTCTGTGACGACTGGCCAGGCAGCCTCTCAGAGCTTCTCACAGGAGGTAATCAAACATCAGTACAAAGCTACTTCACCTTCACATAATGACCAACCAAACAGCACTACAGAGCTGCCTTCCAAATGAGCCAATAAGATACCACCGAAGACGTGCTTTCTGCGAAAGCCAATCAAATGTGACCAGAAAGCTGCCTTCCACCAATGGTTTTTGTACAATAAATTAATTTGAAAACAAATATTATAGGGTATGATAAAGTCATTGACCAAATGTAAAAACCATTTTCAATATTGCACTTTCATTAATATTTAGAATATTTTATGTATTGTTTTGATTATTACAAAAGATGACTATTTAAACTGATCACAATCCAAGCAAAATAAATATATTACTTAACGGCCAACAGAAACAAGACATAAAGCTATTAAAACTACCATGCATATCATATCGGAGTATCCTGATTTCAGAGAGGACCTGGGGGAGGGACCGCCCTGTGGGGGCGGGGCTTAGCCTGATGATTGGCACATCTGAGTGCGTTCGATGTCTCCTTCTGGCAGCCGCTGGCATATCTGGCCACCGCCGCGTCACGCCGTGAAATAGCCCAGCAGCTGTCGGCCTCTGTCACACGGCGTCTCCTGGGCGTGCAGTACATCCAGACGAGGGGAGGAGCTGCGCGTGTGTGCGGCCGGGACGACCATCAGCTGCTCGGCTTCCCCAGCGCTCGGCCGCCCACACGCCACGGAGCGTCCGTCCTCTGCCTGCTTCAGTGTTTCTAAAAGGCGACTCCAACTGAAGGGTGATAGCGGTTGTACGGCTCGATTACTATCCTGACCAGTATTCAGCTGCAAGGACGTTTCATGCAGGCACACTGAAGAAACAAGCTCTGGACAACAGTACTGCACACTGAAGATAGGCTGCGTTTAGCAGACAGCAATGCGTGTACCCTATTTCCAACCCAGTTTCAGCAAACCACGCCCCCAGCTGTGTAACAACATTTTAGCTGTGACCTACCACTCATTTTCAGTAGCTAACATTTGCAAACTTCACTGGTAACAACTCTGTCCATTTTTTACATTTCTAAATTATATATAATTGACGCTTTCATTCATAATGTTTATTTCACAGTTATTCTTACTAGACAAGTAATAGACCATAATTATACCCAAACAACTCCGTAATTCATCATCTTCCAGGCTGCCAGTCTGTAACGCTAGACCTACCTGTACAGAAATCAGAGCTGATGTCTGTGCCAGGCGCAGGTTGACTAACCTTAGTTAAAGCAGGGGTGGGCACTCTTATTCGCAAAGGGCCGGTGTGTATGCAGGTTTTTGGGATAACCTGTAGGTCAGCTGTTCAAACCCAGGTGTGACGACTCTTCAGCCAATCAGTCCTCTAATTAGTAATCTAATTAGGGAGTTGCAGCAAAAACCCGCATACACACCGGCCCTTTGCGGATAAGATTGGCCACCGCTGTGTTAAAGTAACTATTTTGTCATTTCGGTTAATATGCTTATCATTTCAGACAGAAGTGTCACCATTCATTTATAGCATTTTGTTTGCTTCTGTTAATACAATGAATAAGGTTATAGATTGAAAAACAAGCATTGGTTAGTCAATTATTTCATTCAATATCGTTACTATTTTTCACCATAGCCAATTTTTGTCATTCAAGTTGTATTATCTGTGTACTGTCAGGCGAACCTCGGGTGGTTACTGTAAGCTGAGGTCAAACAAATTAAACTCTGTTGTTAATGTAGCTATGCTACACATTAAAACAGAACTAGATGGTTCATGAGCACTCCATCAGTTTTCACTGTTGAGGTTTTATTTTCTACAGCCAATTACAATGTGAGCCTCTGTCCCTCTGGGCCAATGGGATCACAGCATGGGCCATGGTTCGGTGGAAATTGTGTAAACGCGATAGCAACATCACATGCTAAAGAAACGGCACATTCAGTGCACAGCAGCACCATACGCTAAAAAAACGCTGCATTTAGCAGATAGCAGCACCATACGCTAAAGAAAAACTGCATTTAGCAGATAGCAGCACCATACGCTAAAGAAACACTGCATTTAGCAGATAGCAACACCATACGCTAAAGAAACACTGCATTTAGCAGATAGCAACACCATACGCTAAAGACACGCTGCATTTAGCAGATAGCAACACCATACGCTAAAGACACGCTGCATTTAGCAGATA